AATTGTTGTTTTTTTTTTTTTTTTTTTAATCTTGAGTCTTCAAAACTCTATGGGCTCTGTGTCTCCTCAATAACAGATCTTGAAAATTTAATTCAATTTCTCAACAATTTGTTACTTCTCTGTTTACTACCACTGCCCTGTTCAATTTCTTTTTCTTCTCTTGAAAACCCCCCAGCAGTTCACTTGAAATTCTGGTTTGTCCTTTATATTCATCCTCCACACTACCAAGATGTGACCTAAAATGGAGATTCTTCACTTCCTTACTGAGATTCCTATAATGGTTTCTCATCGCATACAGTACAAAGAATAAATTCTTTACCTTAGATTACAAGACACCTGAATAATCTGGTCCCTGATTACCCTACCAGGCTCATTTTTCTTTATCTATTAAGCTCCAATAATAATAATTTGCTTATATTTCCCATCTTATATTTCATATGCTGCTTCACATCTTCTCTACATTGAAGAAATATCCATCTCATTGTTGGACCAATTAGACCCTTGTTCTTTCCCCTATAACCTAGCTAAGTCATAGTTGCACTTGTACCAGCTACTGTCTCTTCCAGGGAGTCATCTCTGATCCTTTGGGATGGGCTACATGCCACTCTTTGAAATTCGCAAATCTTACAATGTACATCTCTTTTATTTTACTAATTATATTCAATTGTCTGCCTTTCTTGTAGGTAGTGAGGTTCTAGCGGTACACAGTAGATACTTTGTGAGCATCTGCCACATTAACTATAACAATGAAAGCACTCAACTTGCGTTAGTGTAATTACTTTTCACAGTAATAACATCCAAACTACGAAATGTATACGGAGCCACGACTATCTCAAATATATTACATAATTGTTTGGTTCACTGCACTTCACTCTGTTTCGTGTTATTAATTCTCCCTAAATCCTGCCACTTTATATCGGATCCTCTTTGCTCAGCAAGTCAGAGTTTGACAATAATTTTTAAATATAATGAATCAGCACCTCATCCCTCACTACATGAACTATATAAATAGTCTCTAGATGAGTTTTCATTTGATAAGCGCTGCAAATAAATCTTTCATTTATGTCAGAGATTTCGCTAAGCCTTCTCCGAGGTCAGTAAAGTTTTTCCATTATGTTTTTCATTCTTGGCTTCAATATGCTGTCAACTTCTTTAATATACATACATATCCAATGTTATTTAATAAAAAATAAAATGCTATCTTTTATAAACATCACTGTTTTGAAAAATACCTTAAACTTTTTATATAACCAATAATTGGATAAACCTATGAAAAATGAACAAAATGTTGGCCTTTTAGTTATGATCAAATTTTAGTTGCTTTAGGGATTTTTATACTTTAAGTGACAGTTGTGATTAAAGTATATAATTATGATTATGGGTTATCCAGCATGAATTCAGTATCCAGTATGGATTTTGTATATGAATTTATAAATGAAACTAAATACAGTATATATAGTTCTATGTATATATGTACACATACATGATTATGTGGATATATGTATGTGTGTGTGTGTATATATATATGCACATGCAGACATATAAAGAGTCTGCCAAAAAATGTGTACACACTTCAGGAAAAGAAAAACTTGTATAAATATTTTAATACTAAATGTACTGAGACATCATGAGACTAATACAAGTTACCTTTGGACTCTACAATTAAATACAAAAGGTGGCCATTACCTTCTAGATAGTCATTTATTTTTCCTTTTCCTGAAGTGTGTATATATTTTCTGGCAAACTCTGTATATATGACCTTAAAATGCATTCAATTTATTCAATTCTAAATTGAAAGAAGTATCTTGGTTAAGGTTTTGGGTTAAAGTTTTCATTAGGAGTTAAACAAATAATAGTTAATATATGGGGAGAAGCCCATCTCTATACCCCCAAAATCAACATTCTTATTAGAGTTCATAGGATCTTAGATATCATATAGGCCAGTTTATAGATTGAAGCCAAGAATGGTCAAGTTACTGTTTGCAGATAAAATAAACAATTATCATTAACTTTAAAGTCAAAGGACTAGGGTTTGCTTTGGCAGCACATAACGCTAAAGTCAAAGGCCTAGATTTCCTAATCTCAAGTTTAATTCTCTCTCCATATCCAAAAAGTCTGTCAAGGAACAAGTACAAGGTGCTCCAGGTTTATTTAATCCATACTCGGGTAACAGTTCTCTAAATATGTATACATTAGGCTCATATTAATTGCCACCTATGTAGCTGTCAGGATTATTTTTAATACCATGACAAGAAGAAAATCAGCTATTTAGAACATAAGAATTACTAAATAGCCAAAAATTTTTTAGCTGCTTTCAAAGGAAAGTTGATTCTTGGTTAAATTATAAACTCCTTATTTTCTGTGTCTATAATCCCAAGCAACCAACCTTACCCAAACGGAAGCTCAGAGATGAAATTAAAGGCAATGCTGAAAATTCTAAGGAATTTAAGTTGTTGAATATCAGAAGGAATTGCTTTGATAGGATTGTTTCTCAGTTTCAGTATTTGTAAATTTTTAAGGCAAAATATCTGAAGAACAGAAAAGAGAAACAAACATGAATGGAATACTGAAGTAGCAAATTCCTATTATCTTTTATGAGCTCTTTCAGCTAATGTAGTAAAATCAGGATAGCAATATAAAAAATTGGGTTATATCATACATCTCTATAAAACTTTTACTAAACCTTTGAAACAAGTTGACCCATATTAACATGCTTGATGTTAAGACAGTGCAACTACTGTACTCATATGTCCTGGAATCAAAAATTGTCCTTTTCTAAATGGAAAAAATTGTCCTTTTTTAATCAAGTAAAGATGAGGAAGGGAGGAGATGGATGCAGAACCAGGAAGATAAACAGAATTAACCTTAGTGGTCAGTCACATGTCCCAAATCATAGCCAGATTATTTAACAGTGATATCACAGTAGTTTCATGTCTACTGAGTTTTAATATGAAAGTTAAAATAGGTATACCACTTAAATCTATGATCTTTGCTTAATGTATTTCTTACTCTCTGTTGAATCTTAATAAGGCTTTATATTAGCTCTTTTTAAAGATTTTATTAAAACTTTTTATGATATTAAAAATCCAAAAGTGGTGGAGTAATTCGTGTGACCAGGAAATGTGAATCTTCTAAAGGTTGTTTTCTTTTCAAAATTGTTCTGGCTCTTTGGAGACCCTTATTTTAATTTTTAGGGTTAGCTTATAAAATTCTTCAAACAAAAAGGTACTACAGTTTTCATAGTGATTGTAATGAATCTATAGATTAATTTGGGAATACTGCCCTGTGACAGTTTTAAGTTCTTCAGATCCATGAACATGAGGTGTTTTTCCATCTATATATTTACTTTCTTTCAACAATATTGACACTTTTATATTGCAAGTTTTGCACTTTTGTTAAACTTACTCTTAAATATATTATTATTATTCATGCTATTGTAAATGGAATTGTTTTATTTTATTGTCAGGTTGTTTGTTGCTAGTATACAGAAGTAGAATTGATTTCTGTATAATGAGCTTCTATACTGCAACCTTTCAGAAATCATTCATTAGTTCTAATAGTATGTTAGTGTCTTAGGACTTCTATGTTCAAGACCATGTTATCTGCAATTAGGGATAGTTTAACCTCTTTTCATTTTTTATGAAAATTTTAAAATATAGCTTAAATTTTTTAACATAGTCATGAAGGATTTTAAAATTAAGAAGTAATATTTGCACATTTTTATGTGTTAACTATATAATTATTACCACATCTAATTATGGTAATTCAATACATGTGTGCAATGTGTAAGAGTCAAATAATATTCTTTTCTTTTTAACTTGGATGCTTTTTATTTTTTTCTCCTACTTTTTGTTTTCTTTTTGAATAATTACCTGGCCTAGCTACTCCAGTTTGCAATGTTGATTAGAAGTGGCACTTCTATAATTAAGCCTTTTTGGATGAAACCCAAAATGCATTTACTTTCAAGTAAATACTTCAAGGTATCATAAGATGACTAGTTTTAATCTCAATTATTCACAATCATAAACTATAGCCACATATATGCAATAATAAAGATGGACTTACTTCTATGGGAAATTTAGTGAGATCATTGAATGATAAATTAAGATATATCAATTGGAAAGCCAAAGGTGTTAAGTCTGGACAATTCGTGATAAAAAATCCCTGAAAGAAAGTAATGAAAGATATTATTAACAATAAATCCCTTCCATAGAGGTACGCTGCTTTGAATTTTTAGCAGCAATATTTCAACTTCAACATAAGACACACCATCAAATTTTTCCCAAGCCATAAAGGGAGAAATTATATTGCTATGTAGGTTGTGAGGTTTTTGTGTTTGTATTTGTTTCATTTTGTTTTGTTTTTGGTGCTGGGGAATGAAACCTAGGGCCTCTGGCCTGCCAGCCAGGTGCTCCACCATTGAGCTGCACCCCAATCTTTCTGTGTAGTCTTAAAGTGTGTTGCTTTTAGTGTGAGGTCAAGCAGTTTTTCATGTTTCTTAAGGTAATGTGTTTCAGTGAACTATCTAGTCATGTGTTTTGCCCATTTTTTTTGTTGGATGCTAGTGTAAATAAAATTATCTTCTTAATTTTCTTCCCTGCTGTACAGATTTTGTGTGTTGATATTACATAGTATAACTTTGCTAAATTTGCATGTGAACTATAGTGGCTGTCTTGCCAGTGCTAATCACAATTCCACAAGTCATAATTTGCAAATTCTACGAAATAAAAATCCCTAAAGTCTAAGATATCTAGATATCAAAATCCCCAAAATAAGTATCATGAAAGATTAAAATCCTGAATATTGAAATATTTAGAGGTGAAATCCTGAAAACTGCAATTCTCATTGATAAGGGATGAAAAACGCCTCTATAAAAGGGATAGAAAGCTGAATTCTTGGGCAGGCAATAGGGTGTTTTCTGTTGCAGACAAGACAGTTGCCAAATTATTCATAAAAGTATTCAGGATGCTCAATGATCTTCTGAACCAGATACATGCTGATAGGTGCTCTGGGGTATAAAACACATTACATGGAGAACTATTCTTGGTTAGGGTTTTCACTGTCTAAGAAGATAGACTTCTTTGATTTACCACTGAACCTAACAAACACTACAGCATATTTTGCTTTGGCTTAATATGTGGCACTTTCAAAGTTGTCTCAACCGGGTTTTTATTTGTTTTAAAATAAATAAAATACAAAGACTTTGGAAGCCAAGAGCTCTACGTTTAAATCCAAACTTCGTTACTTGTTTACTGTATAGTCTTTGCAATTTATTTTTGTTTGTTTGTTTGGGTCTTTTTTTTTTTTTTTTTTTTTTTCTGGGGTTT